GGAGATGAGGGGAGGAGGAGGTTTGGGAGGAAAATTAAGGATTTGATGCTCATGTGGGGTATTGAGGTCTCCAGTTAGATATCTAGGTAGAGCTTTTGAGTAGCAGTTGTACGTGCAAGTCTGGAGTTCAGGGCTGAGGTGGGGCTGGAGATAGAAGTTTCCAGGCTGCACTTGGGAACAGTACACCAAGCACAGTGATCCCTGAGGCCATGGTTTCCCATTGTCTCCCCTCAGCTCTGCCACCACCTCCCTCTGCAGAGGTAGAGCCCAGACCACAGAGCCATTCCCACTTTCACCCTCAGAGCTCTGGCCCCAGGAGCCCAGGCAGGAAGCCCCCTCCCCCAACGCCCTGTCAGGACCAAATGGCCCCACCCAAGAGTCTCACACAGGCCCTGGAGTGGGTGGTACAGAAGTCTGGGGGTGGGTCAGGAAAATGTGGGGTCACATAATCGGAAACAGGATGGCCCTGAATAAAGTCTGGGAGAAAGATGAACAAAGAAGTGAATTTCAGAGAAGCTTCCAGGCTAAATGACCGCTGTTGGATGTTGGCATGGAATGAGGGCAAAGGGAAGCTGGCCCCTGGTCTCAGATTGGGCGGCCTGGGGTGAGCGCTGCAGGAGGTTAGCTGAGGTCAGGCACAAACAAGAAGAAAAACTGAAAAATTCTCAAGTCATGAAGCTGCGGTACCCTGGGCAGGGACACTGAGGAGCAGGGAGGAAGTGGTAAAGCAGGGAGGGAGGGAGAAAAGGGGACCAGAAATGGGTGGGATAGTGAAGATCCAGTGTAGCCACTGCCAGCTGAGTGTCCCTGAGCAACTCCCTCTACCTCTCTGACCCTCAGTTTCACCAGCTGAGGAACGGGTGCTGCTTCCTTCCCCTAGGCTTGGGAGGGTGGCTGTTTGGCGGGAAATGTGCCAGCAGAGCCTGCTGCCTGAGTATGTGAGTCCCACCTGCCCCCGCCCTGACCAGTGCAGGAAGCTGAGCAGCCAAACTGGGGGCCCCTGGAAGGCTTGGGTGCTGTTAGGGTGCTGTCATTTCCTGTCTCTCTGGTTGGCAATCCAAGAGTGGGTGTCTCCGGGCTGGAGGAGGACCGTGTTGCAGCCAAGCACAGCCAGGCCAGAGGCATGATGGAGGCATGAGGGCAGTGCGTGAGGGCCAAGACACTCAGACTCACCTGCCCCACGTTGTTGGGGATGGGCCTGGGACCCCAGCCTCAGGGAAGGGGCTCTACATGCCACCTGTCATCTCATTACAATCAGGACACATGTGCATCCCACCTGCATATACACGTCTGTATCCACTGTGTGTGTGCTTGTACACACACACACACACACACACACACACACACACACACATCCTATGCCACCCAGACCGTGCTCCTTTCTCCATCCCAGAAGTTCATTCTCCGGGTTCCAGCTCCTGGTTCCCCTCAGGAAGACAAGGGGTTCCCTGGGTGACAGATGATGAACAGCAGCCTGGGGGCCCCAGGCCGTGCTGCAGCTCCTGCCAGGGTCTCTGCTGTTGCCTGGCAGCCTGTCTACCATCTCTGGTTTTCCTCTTACAGTTGGTTGAAGATCCCAGGCCTGGAGACATGATTGAGATCTCTCACAGGCTCTACCGTGACTGGGCGCTCTATGTGGGCGATGGTTATGTGATCCATCTGACTGCTCCAGGTAAGGCCTGTTGGAAGCAGGATTCGCCAAGGCTTTGTTAATAAGATAATGAGAGCAGTTGGAATGAAAGCCCAGCACGGGAGCCTGAGTTGGGAGACACGTTCTCCCTGCGCAGAGCTCACGCCGGACATGGTCCAAACCCAGCCCCTGTGCCCACAGGGTCCACAGCCGCTGGGCTGATTCAGCACCTGGACCCGCAGGCAGGGCTGGCTCCCTCTGTACCTGGGCCTCCGATGATGTGACTTAAAGCAGCAAAGTACATCAGGAGCTCACAGTCCAGGTCTTACACAGGAAGCGCCCTCAGTGTTGTGGTTTTCGAAAGTGTGTGATTTCACAAACTTGGTGTCTTAGTATTTATAATAGACTAGAGGCCTGGTGCACAAACTTCATGCACGAGGGGTGGGGAGATTATGTGTCCCTCAGCCCAGTCTGCACTCTCTCCAATCTGGGACCCCTTGAGAGTAGTCGGACATCCCTCTCACAATCCACGACTGTTGGCTCCCAACCACTCGCCTGCCTGCCTGCCTAATTGTCCCTAACCACTTCTGCCTGCCAACCTGATCACCCCCTAACCACTCCCCTGCCAGCCTGATCAATGCCTAACTGCTCTCCTGCCAGTCTGATTGCCCTAACTGCCCTCTCCTGCAGGCCTGATCACCCCTAACTGCCCTCCCCTGCCAGCCTGGTCCCTTCCAACTGCCCTAACCAGCAGGCCTGCCCCCCGCAACTGCCCTCCCCTACAGAGCTAGTCTCCCCCAACTGCCCTCCTCTGCTGGCCTGGTCACACCTAACTGCCCTCTCCTGCAGGCCAGATCACCCACAACTGCCCTCCCCTGCCAGCCAAGTTGTGGTGGCCATCTTGTGTCCACATGGAGGTGGCCATCTTGTGTGTTGGAGTGATGGTCAATTTGCATATTACCTCTTTATTAGATAGTATGCTTTCAAAATGCCCACCCAAAGGGAAAATTCTCATGAAAATGTATAGCAAGCACCTGGTAATAGCTCATCTACCTCATAAATAAGGCAGAAGCAGGACGATGATGAGCCAGTTAGCAGGAGAATGAACGGAACTGATGCACGGTCCGTGAAGACAACCAAGGTGGCTGGAATAAGCCTGCTACGTCAGATGCAAACTGGCTCGTGTCCCACAGAGCAATGGCAACGTAACCTTTGATGCTCTGTCTTCATCCGGGGAAAATAATTGTCATCAATGTGGGAATGCTACTTTTGCATCTTATGTGTTTCCCACCAGTCATCATTTGTCCTGACGGTGTTGGAGGGACATAGGGATGTAGTAAAAAGAGTTAATCAAGCTCATTTTATCCAGATGACACTTAGGGGCCTTGTAGGAGAGAGCATGACTGCGAGGACATGCGGTCCTTTTTATATCTGATCTCCCAGGTGTGGACAGGTTTTCTTAAGAGGATGGATTCTAAGTGCAACCTTCATCCTTGAGATTAGAAACAGATAGTAGTGTGCTTACTTAGTGTGCTCAGTAGTTACTCTTCCTCTTAGAAAACACACCAGGACTCACTATTAGGATGGAATTGGGCCCCGCCAGTGTTGCCCAGTGGTCGAGCATCGATTGACCCATGAACCAGAAGGTCAGGGTTCAGTTCCCCGATCGTAGGGCACAGTGACTGGGTTGCAGGCTCGATCCCAGATAGGGGGTGTGCAGGAAGCAGCCACTTGATGATTCTCTCATCATTGATGTTTCTAACTCTCTCTCCCTCTCCCTTCCTCTCTCTGAAATCAATACAGACATATTTAAAAAAAAATGGAATTGGGAGTCCATCAGCTGAGAGCTCTTCTGTGGATTCTCCCTGTGCCCGGCACTGTGCCAGGTCATGGGACAGGAGACACGGACGTGCAGGGCTCCCTAGGCCTCAGCTCCGTGCGGGGGCAGGAGCCTGGCCTTCGGATCTTGAGAGAGGAAGTGTCACATTGTGGTTCTAGGAGCTATCACAGCACAGCATTAACAGATGTGACTGTTAATGTCCTCTGGGCCCAATATTGGTTGCCAAATGGAGATGATAATATTTTCCTTGAAGGATACAACAAGAATTAAGTTAGACAATCTATGAAAATAGATCTGATTCTGAAGCGCACCAGGGTATGAAGATGCACAGGTATATCAGTATATTCCTAACAGAACTGCTTCTCGTGGCTCAGCTTTCCATCAACCCAAATGCTCAGTAAAAGGCCATGGGTCACATTCACACAACATTGTCTTGTGACCCAACCATTGACAATCATGTCATTTATGATGTGAAACTAATTCAGGACACCTTGCTCGGGGAAAGAACAGAATCTGTGACTCTTCGCATCCTTCCTGGGAAAAGTTACCACGCAAACCGCCATAACTGGTAGGGTGTGTGCCTTTTGTCTCCTGCCATTGCCGCCCTATCTCACCTGCCTGTGATTCGCTCTGTGGCTCCAGGTGAATCGTGCAGTATTGGGCCCTTCAACATGCCTATGTTTCTGAGTGGCAGGGCTGAGGTCACAAAAGAGCCCCTGCAGAAGGCGGCTGCCGGCTGTTCCTACAAGGTCAACAATCACTTGGACCATAAGTACAGACCCCGGCCTGTGCATGAGATCATCACTTCTGCCAAGGAGATGATTGGTAACCCGAAGACCTACTTAGTTCTTCGTGAAAATAGCGAACGCTTTGTCGCTGATCTGAGATATGGCTTGCTCCGCCGTGAGTTGGTAAGGCCCTTCAAGGGGTGACCCTTTACCCTCTGGAGATCTTCCTAAGTGGGAAAATGGGTGGGATTTGGGAAAACCACCAGTGAAGCCTGCGTGGTATTTGTTATATTAATACTACAGCATTAATTCTTACAGTAATACTACAGCATTAATTCTCATAATGACCCTACAGTATTAATTCTCACAGTAAATATGCAGCAGTCATTTTCACAGTTATACTGCAATATTGGATCTCACAGTGATGCTGCAGTGTCGGTTCTCACAGTGATGCTGCAGTGTCGGTTCTCACAGTGATGCCGCAGTGTCGGTTCTCACAGTGATGCCGCAGTGTCGGTTCTCACAGTGATGCCGCAGTGTCGGTTCTCACAGTGATGCCGCAGTGTCGGTTCTCACAGTGATGCCGCAGTGTCGGTTCTCACAGTGATGCCGCAGTGTCGGTTCTCACAGTGATGCCGCAGTGTCGGTTCTCACAGTGATGCCGCAGTGTCGGTTCTCACAGTGATGCCGCAGTGTCGGTTCTCACAGTGATGCCGCAGTGTCGGTTCTCACAGTGATGCTGCAGTGTCGGTTCTCACAGTGATGCTGCAGTGTCGGTTCTCACAGTGATGCCGCAGTGTCGGTTCTCACAGTGATGCCGCAGTGTCGGTTCTCACAGTGATGCCGCAGTGTCGGTTCTCACAGTGATGCCGCAGTGTCGGTTCTCACAGTGATGCCGCAGTGTCGGTTCTCACAGTGATGCCGCAGTGTCGGTTCTCACAGTGATGCCGCAGTGTCGGTTCTCACAGTGATGCCGCAGTGTCGGTTCTCACAGTGATGCCGCAGTGTCGGTTCTCACAGTGATGCCGCAGTGTCGGTTCTCACAGTGATGCTGCAGTATTGGATCTCACAGTGATGCTCCAGTGTTGGTTCTCACAGTGATGCTGCAGTGTCGGTTGTCACAGTGATGCTGCAGTGTTGGTTCTCACAGTGATGCTGCAGGATTGGTTCTCACAGTGATGCTGCAGTGTTGGTTCTCACAGTGATGCTGCAGTATTGGTTCTCACAGTAATGCTGTAGTATTAATTCTCACAGTGATGCTAGAGAGCCCAGCATGTGAGAGCTCCCAGCTCACTAAGTCCTGACCATCAGCCATGGGGCACATAGAGTTTAGGCAACTTCTCCAACGTGTCAGACATGATGTGAGGAGTGAACCTGGGTGTATCCGTCCCTGAAGAGCACCTTTCAGTCTGGAAGCACATTGCAAGGGATCCTTATCCCAGGACAGTGCTGTGGACCCCGTGCTCTGAAAGTCACGGACAGCCAGTCCGGTTTCACACTGTGGCTGCCCAGCCAGGAGACCTTCTTCAAGGCCCTTCACCCAAGTCTGTCCGGGCCAGTGATCTGGCCTTGTCCTAAGTGAAGAGGTTCTGGGCAGTCTGGTCCTCATGTCCTGCTCTTACCATTCCCCGTAGATCCCAAACCAGAGGCGCTGGCAGAGAGGCACAGAAAGTTGTATCAAAGCCATCTGTGCACAGAGAGGAGGGGCAGCTGGTCGAGCCTGAGGCAGTGAATTGCTCCAGAGGAGAGACTGTCTGCTGGGAGGAGAGTGTGTGTCACACGGGGAGGGCACGGATGGTGTAGGAGGGAGAGAGAACATGACATCAGAGGAGCAGGAGAGAGAGAGCATGAGGTGGGGAAAGACAGGTAGCTCAGGAAGAGAAGAATAGAGGAGGAAAAGAGGGATGAGGGTGAGAGGGAGGAGGGTGAAGAGCTGGACCATGAGCTGCCTAAAGGGTGTGGACAGCATTCTGAGGGCCTAAGTAAATCATTGCCCGATTTTCCCTGTGAAGGTCCCACTGGACAACACGGGTGGGTAAGGAGTGAGTGGAATGAAACCCAGGTTAGAGGGAGGGGGATGGAGGAAGGTGGTGTTGAAGGCACTTGGTACTTGGATGTGGGGCTGAGGGAGAAGGAGGAGGGAAGGATGACTAGGCCTCTGATTAGCAAGCTGGGCTGAGTGACGCCAGAAGGAAGGGGACAGAACGAGCAGAGGGACAGAGAGCAGGCTTCATTCCATGGGGACAGGATGCCCTGTGGGGTGGACACTCATTCCCTGGGAAGGCCAGTGAACGTGGAGAAAAGCAGCCTCCATTGGGGGTGGGTGTGGGAGCGGGAAGGGCAGACTGCTGTCCGGCTGAGCCATCTGGGGTAAGTCCCTCAACCTCACCAGTACCCGTGCCCACATCCGGGAGTGGGGACTCGTTGGGCCCTTTGGCCTGAGGTGCAGTTGGGTGAGTGGGCGCGTGTGATGGAAATGTCCCACTGGCAGCTGTGTGGTCGCCACCAGGGAGGGTGCCTGGCCCAGGTGCCCATTGTGTGGCCCTGAGGAGCCCTCAGTTTGTGTCTCCATGAATGAGTGCCCGGAGGTTGGGACAGAGTCTGAGGAGGAGGCTACTCAGCACCGCTATGGACAACCTGCTTTAACACCTGCGTCTTAATAGACTCGTGGAGGTTCAGTAAGGCAACAGGTCAGGAGAGGATTGCAGAGGAGGAGACACTGTCACTCCCAGCTCCCAAGAGGAGGGGGCATGGCCGCCACTCAGGGCCACATGAGGGGGCACTGGGTTGGGGAGGAGGCAGAGAAAGTGGGGAGGGAGACAGGGAGGTGAAGAGGGATGAGGGTGAGAGGGACGAGGGTGAAGAGCTGGACAAGAGCTAAGGGCAAGAGCCTGGCCGGTGGTGTCTGTGGGAAGAGTGACTGGGGCGGGTGAGCAGGCTTAGAACTTGCTGGTAGAATGCTTTCTGCAGGCTCTGGGGCGGAGGCGCTGTCTCTAGTTGACTTGTACCTGGACCTGGGGGCATTGGGGTAGGTGGAGAGTGGCCTGCAGTGAGCTCTGGATTGGTCCATTTGCCTTGAAAAGACCATTTAAGGGGCTGCTGTGAGCTGATCTTCAGGAACTGGCTGGCCTGGGGGGGTC